TGTGTGTGTGTGTGTCTGTGTCTGCAGTATGAAGACACACAGTCCCAGCTATCTGATCTCCGTCAGCGTTATGAGAGAACAGAGCAGGAGAAGCTGAACATCCACCAGGAGCTGGAGCAGTGCAGGAGCAGCCTCAAGCTGCTGCAGGACAAGTCCAGCTCTGTGAGTGCCCACACCAACACTCTTTGTTCCTTTATGATAAAAAACACAGACTTGTGCTTGGACTGTTTTTCTGTAATCTATGTTTGCCCAGCTTTAAGTTTTACCATAATTTATTTTTGCTTTAAGGTTGCTTTTTATGCAGGTGAAGCTGCATTTTTATCCTGACCTGTGAGAAATGTCACACAGCGTTAGTGTTGTCTAACGGTCAATAACATCTTTGTTGAAAGTAGAAATGCTCATAATGCCAAATAATAACTGGTGAGGTAACAAAATAACATTTAAATTGTGATTTTTAAATGAATTCATGCAGCTCTGTGAACACATTCAAAGCAGTGTGTTTTTTTTGGTTTTGTTTTGTTTTTTTAAACTGACTTCTCTAGCCAAGGTGACATGTGACCTCACCGTCTCTCCAGGTTTATTTCCTGTTCTGATAATTAAGCTGATGGATAAAAACTCTTGGAAACATTAATCAGAAAATCAGTGAGGCGGAGCAGCCTACTCTGTACCCCCACCCCCTTCTTTTCTTCCTTTCCTCCTCCCTCAGCTCTTAAAACACGATATATCTAAAGGCCAATTTCTCTTCATTACAACCTTGTAATTTTGCCTCTTTAGTTTTTTTTGGTAATAATAATGTTGCAATATCTGAGATCTGGGAACACGAAGGCCACACTAGAAAGTCTCATTGTTTCTGTTTATTTTATTTATTTTTTGATACAAAGTCCACAATTGATATCTATTAGAAATTTTTTTTTAAAAAATTCATCATTGCTGTATGTTAAGTGAACTGATTCTCTCCTGTCCCACTTTTCTTTCATGGCCTTCTCCAATTCTCATTATCCTCACAGTGCATCGTCTTTGGGCGTTGCATGGACTAAACTGCTAGTGGTCTGTAGCTGATACAGTGTGGATAATGGAATGCGACGATTGGTTTGGAAGGTCTTCCACTACTTTTTGCTGTACCTTGCCATCCTAAATTAGGTTAACTATTGATCTAATGATGCTTATAAACCGGGTTGTAACATAATTGGGGGCTTGTCCGAGACCTTTTTAATTCTTTTGTGGAGACTAAAATGCAGGATGAGTGAAGTTTCATTTGAGATATCTCCAGATGGAAACCATGAAATGTTCAACTAGGCAGATTAAAACAAAACTCCAGATTTGATTGATTTATTTGGAAGGAAAGATGAATGGCACTGATGTGAGCTAAAAGTGTTTTTGGAAATGTCCATCAGGGTTACAAAAGATTTTCTAGACAAAAGTATTTGTAGCTCATTTCACTGTGTTCCCAGATCTCATTAACCACTGTTTGCATTAATTAGCACTGATAGCAATGGAGCAAATAAGAACCTGATTATAAAAAACTAGAGTTACCCTCTCTTCACTCGGTGCATTTCTGTTAGGCTTCTTTGTATGAACCGGTGTCCGTCGTGCTGTAAAGATCAGATTGAAACCAGCTGACAGACGGCAGCTGGAGGAGATCTGTTCCTGCTGCAGAAAAGTGTTGCTGTTTTAAAAGAGCCTGGTGACGGATGGCTGCTCCTTCGTGGTGATTGTGAATGTGGCTGCTGAATGTGTAGAAATGTTGGTGCTGCTTTGTAGAAAACGGCTGATTGGATACAAACCCAAACCCTCTCTCTCCCTTTCTTCCCTCCCCCCTCGCTGTAGCTGCTCCATCCTCCATATTGGTTTTGGTTAATTTGCTGGCTGATTTCTTCTTATCCCCTCTCCCCCTCCAACCCCTCTCCCTTTTAGCCATCCATATTGCAGCCTGTCCAAGCCATATTCATGGGCCTTGTCCTGGCTCTGCTCTACTGGTGTTTCGGCCAGTTGTGGTAGAAAGGTACACACCGACATGACATCAGTCTATCTCTCTGCCGTCCTGTCTGTCTGTCTGTCTGTCTCTGATGCGTCTATCTGTTTGTCATCACTGGAAGGAAAGATGTCAGAGGCGAAAGAGTCGTTCTGATCTGTGATGAATTCAGGGTCATGAGTTTCAGCTGGAAAACTGACGTGCTGAAATTGAAAAGAAATCTCCTTCTGAACTCAACGCAGGTTTCCGCCGTGAGAGCTTATTATTTTTGAAAATAAGAACTATAGGCATTGCTGTTGAAAGTCAAAGCTCCTGTAAACGTGTTCAACACATAAATATATTATTACAATTCTTTAAGTCTAATAGAGAAGCTTTGCGTGACTCATGATTTTCTTATACTGGGCCTTAATGCAGAACCTAAGTGTGAATCCTGCTGTTTTAGCTCTGCCCACTTTAATTCAATTGTTTTTTGTTTGGCAGCCCCTCATAAACAAAAAGTTGGAACACTTTCTGTACCTAATATGAGGCAAATTTGTAGGTCAGTCTCTCCTTCCAAACAAGCTACCAGAAGTGCATTCCCTTTTTTTCCCCATATGTCCACACTTTTTTTTAATGGTCATAAATTCAGTCACAAATTAACCTAAATAAGGAGGGAATGTAAGTGTAAGGAGCAGGTTATTACTGGCAAGCATCCAAATATTCCTAAACTACATCTTTCACGATTTGAATGCTAACAGCTCAGGATGATGATGTGTTGCGGTGCAGGGTGATGATACATAAAGGTAACCCAGCTGTTGAACTCTGAATTCTGATCACCAGATCGCTCTCTTCACCTCCTAAACTTCCATTTAAGACTAAGGATCATCTTAGCCATCATCATCATCATCATCATCACGGCGTCTGGTCCCTCGTCTTCTGATATGAGAACCACTAACTGCATGGCTGTCAGTCTGCCTGTTCGTCTGCCAGTCAGTCTCACTTCTGCTTCTGCTCTGCTGCAGCTAACATTAACACGCTCTTTAAAGGGATGGGCTCCCTCCACCCACAGACCCTCCATTTAAAGGGAGCCTTGTACATATGCTTCATGCTCTTCACAGCAGTGGTGTTTGACCTATCATAGCAGGGAAAAAAACAGGTAGACAAGGCTTCTTATTGTAGACTTGATATAAAAGAGGCACCTAGCTTCCAGGTCTTTAACCCTGGAGAACCCATGGGGTCAGATTTGACCCCATGGGTTTTCCAGGGTTAAATACAGTATGGAAGTGCAATAAACCTGTACTCTTTCTAATGACCAGCAGGGGGAGACTCCTTTGGCTGTAAAGGGATGCCCGGGTGTCTAGAAGAAATCACCTTTCATCTCACTTGATCTGCCTCAGTAAACACATTATTAAATGGAACACCATGTTTATTTTATAAATGATGGTACAATTGGAGTCGAAAGGGTGTTATAAAACAGGGCGTGTCTACTCTATAACTGACATGTGAGCGTGCAGTGCCCCTCCGTTTTTCCATCACACCGACCCTCGCTCGACGCGTGTAGGTTCAACACAAGGTGACTTCTTAAATCTGTTCATCTGGACGTTGTGTTTTCAGAGTGAGAAATATTTTTTCACTAAATCAGGGGATTTCTTCACTCTCTGTTAACTGTAGCTTTCCCCAACCTTATAAACAGTACATTTGGATAATGACCAAAACTAGCACCACTGACTAACAACCAGCTGCGAGTTCAGTTAATTGATCAATGGCCATGAGTACCATTCTGAATGGTACTCCAGCTGTGGTTGGAGTGGCTGCAATCACTTTTTTAGATCACCAAAAAATGTCCTCTTTTCCCACCACTCAAACCTCAGCGCTCCTCCCTGTCCCGGATGTGCACATCCTCATTGAAAGAGTGGCCATTGGACTGTAGGTATAAATAGACTGTAGAGTCCTGGCCTGATGAAGTAGCTCTTCTGTGTTGTCCCATCCGCTTAGCCAGAGGTTGTTTGGTTTTCCCAATGTATAAAATCACGACAGTCTATAGATGGTATATAACACTTTTCCACTCTGAGCACTCAAAGCGCTTCACACAACTTGCCTCATTCATCCAAGCGCCTTTTTTTTTAAATGTTTTTCTATGTAAGTGCTCTCTATCTAACGTTTACACACATTCATACTCTTAGCCACTTGAGGTAGTATGTTGCCCAAGGATATTTGGAATGCAGACTATAAAAGCTAGGGATCAAATCACAACCTCGGATTAGCAGATGAATTAAAGCTACAGCCACCGTCTGTGTACACTATATTACTGTGTTTGTGGCGGGGGAAGCACATCCTTGTGGTTGACTGATCTTTAGTGTAGTGTGTTTTGAGGTTTGAAAGCCACAGAAATGCTGCGTTTTAATGAAATGCTTCTTAGCGGTTTTGATACGGCTGACATATAAGGAGTCATTAAAGGTTTTTACTGTAGCAATGATACTAGATTCAGTCATTGTGGAAATTTACTGTTACTGTTAGTTTAAGGTTGGGAAAATCAGCTGAGACTGAAAGTCACTTGGATGAGTGACAAAATGTTTCTCCCAATGAAAATGCAACGTCCAGATAAGCTGATTCAACTTTACTGTAATTTTCTTACAATGATGATCGAGCATGGATTGAAACAAAAAAGCAAAGAACTGCAAAAAAAAATAGAAAAAATAGACTTTAAAAAAACTAACAAAAACAAAACATAGGTGGCATCCATCTTTTAGATACAGTCTGTGATGGCGCTGAGATCTTTAATTAAGCTGCTGCAACATCAGGACCATCACTAAATTGAACACAGCCATTTATTTATTTATTTATTTTGTTTTGTTATTTACATGCTCAAAGTGATCTCAGAAAGGTATGTCATGTAAGATCAAAACAAATGATTTCTGAAAGAATTGAAACAAGGTATGTGGCTGTAGTGACTTTATTTTTCTGGAAAAAATGCATAAATAAATCAATCTGCCGATAATCCGCCCATCTCCAAATCCACTGACTAGATGAGAGGAATGTAAACAGCCTGGCTGAAATCGAAGGCACCGTAGGCCTCCAGGGTGTTTAGATGTGCATGATGGATGCAAATTTTGTGTCGTCGCTGTACATCTATGCACACTGTACTACTTCAAAGCTTTGCCTACTTTGATAGTTTAATGACCAGGCAAGAAACCATGACCATCCTGGTAATGTCAGTCAGCAACCTAAATTGACAATCCCAAAAAACACAGTGGAGAAAAAAAAAAAGCATCCCAAATTATTATTTTATTTATGTATTTTTTGCATTTAAAAACAAAACAAAAAGAAATCTTTCATTTTGGTGGGAAAATGTATACAGTATAGTGGGACCGGTGATCTCTGCTCTCGTCTTTAGACTCCATTGCGTGCTAACAGCTGCACCAGGAAGCGTGCGGTTACCTGATTTTCACGCAAAAAAGAGTGACGTATTATTGGCTGTGCTGCAGGAGTATGGCTCGTCACAATATTACACAGATCGGTTTTTAACCTAAGCAAAGTTCAGTTGTCAAACTTATTAAAATGAATGAATTACTGTGAGGAGCAGTAACTTTCTAAAACGGCTGAGTTCTTGGGTTGCATTACACACAGAATGAAATGGTGCTTTTGTCTGGGATTGGTTTCAGTCTGTCAAGAAGGTGCTTTTTTTTAAGTTGCCCATCTCACGCACGACTAGAGAAACAATAAGTTTCTGTGTTTACCAATCCAGCTGCTGTACACAGCACTGGTGTGAAACACACATGTCACATGCACCTGCGGCTGTTTTCTTAAGCACGATCTGATATCCTCGTGTCAGTGTTGTTCCCACATCATCATAATAAATGTTGTCCCAGGTGCAACATTGCAAGTGACCAATCACATTGTTGTGACATCATACTTTTGCAACTTCGGGAAAAACCGCCTTAAAAGAAAAAAAAAAACTACTTAACTTGCAAGACACTGCCTCTGTCCGCCGATCCAGCAATTTGAATTCTTTGCATTTCAGGATACGACTCTTTGATAAACGGTAAGCATTATACATATTGTCCTTGCAACACTGGAATTTCATAAATGAATGAATGGCTTGGCTTGCAAAAGTATGACGTCACAACAATGTGATTGGTCACTTGCAATGTTGAACCTGGAACAATATTTATTATGATGATGTGGAAACAACACCAACACGAGGATATCAGATCATCCGTTTTCTTACTGCAGCTTTACTTCATCATATATCGGGCGAAAACGTGGCTGTCCCACACTGAAAGCAGCACCTGAACGCCTCCTGTGTAAACAGACTGCTGAACGCTCACTCCTGACCGTTCACAGTCAGCAGTGTGTTAAAATTTTAAGTTAAGAAGAAGAGGCGAAATGACAGAAATAAAGGGAAAAAAGTTAATCAGAGAGTTTTAATGTTTATGTTCAGCCCAGTAATCTTAAATAAATTACAGTGATCCTCCTTTTGATTTGTCACTTTATCTCTCCCCGACCCGAAGAATTCAACAACATTTCAGTTTTATTTTAATTCAAAGAGAAGTCTGTGAGAAATGTAGATGAGCTTAATTCATCTGTGGAAACTTCTAAAGGTCACCCTTCTGTTTATTTGCACTCTGTTCCCCTTTAAAGAGGCGTGCTCTGACCATCGCATCTTAAAGGCTAACCCTCTCCTTCCACCTGCCTCATTCATTCACTCTCCTCTTCCTCTCGTTAGGTTTTCGGTGCTTTATTTTAGCTTTCTTTAATTATATGTTTCTGTTCTCTCATATTTCTTTTTGCAGGGTTTGTTTTTAATTTCATTTATTAAAATTTTTTCTTCTTCTGTGTTCTTGCATCCAGCTGCTGCTAAACTTCAGTTATTTTCATCTGTTACTGGTTTGTTTTTTTTATTGTCTCTTTTTCTGCAGCCATTCTTACTTTCTTTATTTCTGAAGCATCCATCATTACATCCATCGTGTTTGTGTTGTGTTTGCTGCTTGTTTGTTTATTCGGGAACGTCTGACCAGTATGCCCAGTATGCCCAGTTGTTGTTTGCTTTGAGGGGAAAATGTTCTGTAACTTTTCTGTTGTTCTGCTCAGGTAACTTAATTTATTTTGCTGCTTTTTTTTTTAATTTAATTTAATTATTTTTTACTTGTTTTCTGCGCCTGTCCTGAAGTCCCAAAAGATGATATTGATTGAATTTGTTTCCTTTTATCGTTCATACACAAACCAGCAGAGAACTCGAGTAAAACTCGATTGTCTTGGCAGGAATTTAAAAACTGTTTTGAATTTGAAGCAACACACACTTGGGCCTTAATTACATATTTGGTGCATAAAAGGGAACTTGAGTTAAGCCCCTATTGGACGTAATCAAGGAGGAAATTGTACTTGGCATGTTGACTTGCTTGAGTTAAAACCTTTGTTGTTTCTCACCAAAAATAAAGGATGAATCCTGAAATACCTGAAGGTTATTTGGCTACTGTAAAAATTATTAGTTTTTCTAGATACCTAATAACTTGATTGTAGTTGAAAAGGCCTTTTTTTTTTCCTTGGAGCTTTTCTTGGACCATAAGTTCAGAGAGCAGCATTTATAAGGACCTTGCAGTGATGAACTTGCAGTGATGAACTGGCAGCTTTAGTCCCAACGGGCATCCCGTCTTCACATTGAGCTGCTGTCTCAAACTAGTGATGCTTCCTTTAAAAAATCTGCTGCTGTCAGAGGTCACTGTTTTAATTCAAATCTACAAAATTAGACTGAAGGCTTCTCCCTTAAACTAGCAATGTTTTTATAGTGAATATGACTTTTATTGTTTCAGATTGATTAGACAAAGGGTTCCTTTCATTTTTCACCTCTTATTTTGAAACAAACTTTACTATAAAAAGATATTTTTAACTGGTTTTAGTTGTCTTGGAACTACATGAATAAATGAGTGTACATGTTTACACTAATTTTGATTCCACAGACTGCAAATAAAAGATGGACGCACACATCATGATGTCACCCATTGTTCTGTGGGCAATCCACTAATAAAATACTGAATTTGATTAGCCATATTATTCAGATCATGACATTACAAATGTTCTTAAGGGGAAGAAGTTTAGCTGACCCTTTGAGCAGCCTGGGTTTGAAGGCCGTTTGCTCTCTTCCCACTTGTGTGTCAAAAATCTTCCCTGTCCAATCAAATAAAGGCAAAAAAAGCCAAAAAATAATGTTAAAAGCTAAGAAACGGCATAAATGTATTTGAGAGGTCCAGTTCAGCCACCTGTTTCTGCGCTGTTGGTCAAAGCAGCCACAGCCTTGACAACTATCAGAGGTCAAACCTATGTTTTTGCAGCGGGCACTATAAAAGTTCCTTTTTTACATGTCAGTATATGGAGATTAATTGGAGCCAGCCTCAGGTGGACATTTTTGTCACTTACATGCAGTTTGACTGATTGATTTACGTTCTTCTCGTTAAATAACCTTTTCTTTCTCTCAATCAGATGAATTTTTGCACGAGAAAAGAAATGAAATATCATCTTTTGGACTGAAGTGGCTTCTCTTCTTTTGTCTTTGCCTCTTCATCTTCTTTCTCCTCTTCCTTTAAAAGCTCTCCTTCCGCCTCTGTCCACTTTTACTCGTAATGTTCAAACTAACTTTATTTATTCACGTGTTTCTTTGTCTGTTTCTGTCTCGTGTGTGTTTTTTCGTTCATCTCTCTCCAACAGAGCGGCTGGAGCCCCTGGATGCCGGTCGTTGCAGTGATGGTCGCCGTGACGGCCGCCGTCCTCTACCCCAACCTCTCCAAGAGCAGCTCCACCTAGGACACAAAACACAAGCGAACACACACATGGAGCGCCGTGAGGAGAGCGTCACTGCTTTACTTGTATAAAGTCTAATTGTACATAATTGTAGAGGGATATAAAGGTTGTGGTTTCTACAG